TATTGCAAGAATTATTCCTTATAAAAGACTAGGAATAATCTTGGATGTCCCAGTGTGAGGTCTGTTTTGGTCCCCAGCTGCTTTTGGGGTTTTTTTTTTAGAAAAACCACAAATATTTTTACAAATAATAAGAAAGATATACAATAAACACAAACTGCGGAAGGGGGCTAGTGACTGCCTGGAAGCTTTGGCACAGAGCGTGGTTTGACTGGGAAGATAACCAATGCAACAGGAACTGAAAATACGATAAAACACTTGAAAAGAAATACATGGATTCAACGAGGAACCTTCAGGAAAGCGAGGAATGACACAGCAGAAAACAGAGGGGATTTTAACCAATAATGCCAAAGGGGAAACCCAGGCACTGAGCTACTGCTTCTGACTCAGCAGATGGGCCAGCTGATGGCCCACTGCAAGGTCCTCCCTCTGGCACCTGCCCTGCTGCCTCAGCAAAGGAGCTGCTGTTAAGTCAGTGGGCTCTCCCCGCTGTCCTCTCCACTACTGAAAGAGAAAGCAAAATCTCTTTCTGAACAGGCAAAGAGTCCCTTAAGCTTTACCATCAACAGGCTCTCGAATGGGAATTGGGGCTCCTGGATTCCCCCTGCTAGCTCTGGAAATTATTAGCCCCTAAGGCAGGCTTGTGCAACTTGTGGCCTACCACACCGAAGGCTGCCTTCTGGCCAAGTACCCTTGCCTGGCAAGGACTCAGAAGCCACACAACTGTTGGTTGCATTCACCCAAACCAGAAACTTCAGGAAGCCACCGGTGAGTGTAGATGCAGGGCTGAGTTTGGCTGGCTGGTTCATGTTGAGCAGGCCAGGGCTAAGGATATAACAGACAGGAAAACAGGGGTGTTGGGTGGGAGGGAAATACCTCGCTGCGAAGCTTTGCCACGTTGGGAGGAGAGTAACACCTAGGGGGTAGAGGCTAGCAGGGTTCACTGGGGTCAGGAAACACTGGGTTGGATCTAGCCAGGGCCGGCGGCCTCGCCTAGGGCGCACAAACCCCTCGGGCTGGCCCTGGATCTAGCCAGGTTTTTCCCTACTCAACCTCACCCGATTCCTCAATCCCCCTCTTTACTACAGCCCCCATCCCTGTATAAACAAGTCCCATGATCCACAGCATAGCCTTCTTGAGCGGTCACAGGGGATCCTGTTTTCCTTTTTCTCCAGTAGAAAAGTTGGTTTGATCCACGCCATTGATCTGTTTTTCCTTTTGCTCATTTCTCTAGGCATCACGTTGCTACAGCTGTAAGCGGGGTATGGTGTTGGAAAAGGGGGACCTGAAGCCAGGTTGATGGATGCATCTTAAATGCCAGTTCGGTACCTAGGCTTGTCAACCTCCAGGTGGTGACTGGAGATCTCCTGCTACTACAACTGATCTCCAGGCGACAGAGATCAGTTTACCTGGGGGAAATGGCTGCTTTGGAAGGTAGACTCTAAGGCAGTGTACCCCATTGAAGCTCCTCCCCTCCCCAAACCCCACCTACCTCAGGCTCCACCCCCAACCTGGATCTGACAACCTTATCAGTAACCCCATTGAAGCTCCCTCCCCTCCCCAACCCCCACCTCCTCAGGGCTCTCCCCCCAACCTGGATCTGACAACCTTATCAGTACCTGAGTCCTGCGGCCCCTTCCAGACTAACAAGGTATTATTCCGGTGTAAAATGTTGTGAACTAGAGCCGACTCTGAAGAAGGAGGTTCTAGTCCATAAACGTTTACACTAGAATAAGAGTTTTAGTCTTTAAAGCATCACAAGAATCATGTTTATTTGTATTGCAAGAGACTAACATAGCTACCCCTCTGGAATGAGCAGTGGGGTCTCCATGGCAATGAGGGGAGCCGGAAGTAGCGCGGCCCCAGATTAGGCATACCTCAGGAAAAGGGTTCATTTTAGACTTTTGATTTAAGAACAGGAACTGTTCA